CTCTCTCTCTCTCTATATATATATATATATATATATAGTGTGTGTGTGAGTGTGGCTTGGAAATAATACTCATAGATATAGGCTTACCAGGGATGGACTTGTAAAAACTTGTATGGATATCAGAGAAGTTCTTAGAAAGAAAAGCTGCTTGACCCATGTATTGTAATACCAATGAAGGATATATCAATCCAACAAAAGCAACCTGTAATACAGGAAAATGAAACTTGAGAATGGTATTCAAAATAGTTCCAATTTCCCAACCACATAAGAAGAGGCAATTGTGCACTAACCCTGATAGAAATATTAGTGAAGTGACCAAGGTCCGCAAACATAGCTTCAGTCCCTGTGAAAGGCAACAAAGATATATTCCGTGTCACTTATAATGCATGACTTCTAAATCCCTTAACCTTTAAAAAAGGCATATAAAGTTGGAAATTAAACCACCAGACTGACCTGTAATACACAAAACTACTCCCCCGAGAGAAATCCAACCATCCTTTCCTGTTGCTTTAAAGAACTTGTATATATAATGTGGAGAAAGGGCACGAAAAATCCTAGGGTTCCAAACAACAACATTGTAAATGCCAATTGTGCCAATACACAAGAGCCAGACAATCACAATGGGTGCGAACATGAATGCCACCTTGTGAGTACCATGGTGTTGCAAGGCGAAAAGGCCAACCAACACAACGCAGGAAATTACTACCACCACACCTATGTGAATCCACGGGAACAACTCATTAGTCTTTGAAAATATGATCAGTAAAGTATAGTTGACCAAAGAAAGAGGCTCGAGAATGCATGGAAATGAAATTTATAGGTACAAAAATATATAAAGTGAATTTTTCATTTCTCTCTCTAATGACCTTCTATCTGTGATGCATCCCTTGGATCTGAGTTAGGGACTTCAGGTCTTGGAAGTCCAACACATACACTATGGTCTCATATTCACTCTCAGTCAGGGATAAGCTTCCCAAGTTGATCTATCGTTTCTCTCATTTCGAGAATGTGCCTACCCCTGACATATGCTAGGGCTTTTCTGGTGTAACTTTACTTTCATTGACAAGTAACATATTCTAGTGAAATTCAATCTAGATCAATTAATTAAACCACATGTCAATGCATGAAACCTAGAGCATCAGTCTGATGAAACTATGATGATTCAATAGTAGGAACCCAGTTAAGAGACACATTGAAAGATATATACTTAACAAAAGCTTAAATTGGAACACAAATTAAAAAAAAAATATTTGAACCAGGTTGATGCAGTTGTTGAGCAGCACGCATTGGTTTGGAACAATGGAGTGCACAGTTCAGACTGGAGCAATTCTATAAGCCATTAGGTTCATGGTATCAGATGTTACAATGCAAGGGGGATGTAGTTACATATCTATGGTTTCAGAATGAAAATAGGCAGATCTACCAGGTGCACGACAGAAATTTTCTTGGTTTTAGATCTAAGGTAGGACTTCTAAGGAACAGATTCATGGTATCAGCCATTAGGTTCCAGGTCATGGTGTTTAAATTGATTGCTTAGTGGCTTGAATCTAATTCATATGTTTTCAGAGGATAGACTTTATGTTTCAGGTGCCCAAAGTCAAGTTTCTTACTGACCATTATTAGATGATAGCACCACCCATCTCCATGAGGTAACAGCTATATCTGGCAAAATGGCACTTACCATTGTCTAATTTGTGCGTGCGAACTTGCAGACCAGAAATGGATGACAGAACTGCCACAAAACAACAAATACAGACTTATCAATAACTAAGAGTAATAAAAACACTTGATTCTAGCACGACAAGCGTATGAATCTGATTAACTTAAAAATGAAATGGAACTAGTATTCACTTCATCAAAAGGAAATGTAAATGAACAATGATGACCCACCAGACCGGTTTTTTCATAGGAAAGTGTACTATACTATACTTTCCCTCATCAAAAAGAGCCAAGAGCTACAAAGAAAGCACCACCACAGCCAGAAAAGATAGCATAATCATCTTACCAGAAATGGCTGGTGTGAGAACACCATCACCTATCACCATGCAAGCACCAAAGAGAACCACAACAAGTAAACCTGTTCTCGACTTCTTATGCTTCTCTAGAAATCTTTTCAGTGAGGAAGCCCCAACAATCCCTGATGAGTAACCAGGTCTATAATATGTAGAGAGCTCCTCATCAGCTGCTTGCTGATTTGGAAGCAAACTAAACTTTGCATGTCTACAAAGAAGCGAATACAAAGCAAATGTCCCCCCTGTACATAATCCAAAGTTTATCAAAGAATTAGTAAATGGTCGCCCCAATCAAACAAGGAAATAAGTTTTTTCGTTTTTCTGAAAAAAAGAAAGAAAAAACAAATAGGAATGGATTGAAATAGAGTTCCTTACTCTTAATCTAAAAAAGCTTTTCAAATTCCCTTTCTTGTGGTTTTGTCATAGTTCTTCTAATTTCTTACTAAAGAAATTTATACAGGCTTACCTTCACCATTATCATCTGCACTCAATACAATGAAGACATACTTGAATAATGGAATCAATGTGAGAGTCCAAAATATCAAAGAAAATGCACCAAAAATTGCGTCTTCATCATGAAATTTGTGTAATCTATCTGAGAAAGTGCTCTTGAAGACGTATAGAGGCGATGTGCTCAAGTCACCATAAACAACACCAAAGCTCTGATAAGCTAAAAGGAGAATGTTTTTGTAATAAATCTTTGATCTAACCTGCATGATTGAACAGCCCATGCGTTACACTATTGATTATCTGATTTCTTGATCCATAAGCTCTAAGTTCCATGGAAACAATACGAGATCCCATAAGAGTAGTACTAGTAAAGAAAATGAAACCAAGGATTCAAGAAACGAGTAATACTGTGGGAAAGTAATCGACTGGTGCTCACACTTCCACGAGCACAAGAATAATCATGTTTATAAATACGTTACGATAAAGTAGAAGATACTCATCTAAGACTGGTATATATGCATCATTTTTCTAATTAATAATTTTTCTTTCTTGCTAGAATCTTCCAAAAAAGCATTGTACCAGAATGCTCTCTCCTACCAGCATGAACAAATAACTGTAAGCATAGCTTCTACAGTATTTTTGAAATAAAAAGGAATATTCACAGCGAACGAACAATATAACTAGCAGTGGCAATGGATCGAGACCCGCCAGGTATACTCGACACAAGTCGAGTATGGGTCTAGCATTTGGACGCGGCGTGTCAGGTCCGGCTCCAAAACTTGGACCCGAACACTATACAGGTCCAAGTCCAGGTCTAACTGGACCCGAACCATACCCTTAAACAGTTAGAGATAAAATACTTTAGTTTAAGCCCTAATCATTTGAGTATATTAAGAATCGTATATAATTAGAACTAGTACTCATCTTTAGCTATTAAACGACAAATCACATGGCTTGAAATCTAATAGCGGGTGATTATGACCTTGTTGCCAATAATAGGGGTCAATGATGGTAAAAAGGGTGCAAAAAAAAAGAAAAGAAAAGAAGTTCCTAGTGAGGGTGACAATGGACCCAAGACCCGACAGGTATGGGTATGGGTCCAATTGTTAGACCCAACAAGTCGGGTCCAGGTCCAAAACTTGGACTTGAATCCATTCGGGTTTGGGTCCAGGTCCGGGTCCAGCCGGACCCGACCCATACCCGACCAGTTGTCACCCCTAAATAGAAACAAATTTTCCTTGGCAAAATCGATTTAGCACTGTTCTGTGCTTTTCTTTGCATCGATTTAACTTATTTTTGTTTAATTAACTTACTATTCATCAGAAAATAAATGAAAAATGAACTTTTACTTAGAAACATGCGTGTGCTTGATTACACAGTAAAGAACAACAAGAATTTAAAAAAGAAAAGAAAAGAACGACCCAAATCATTAGATTGACAAATTAAAAAAGAATACCAACAAAAAGCTATTGATCTTCTCAAAACTTAGAGAGAGAAATTAAAAAAGAAAAGAAACCCAACAAAAATCTATTGACGTGTGTGAGAGAGAGTGCAATACCTATGGGGAGAAAGCCAAGAAATAAAAGAAACTCAACAAAGTAGTAAGTCAATCCAGAAATCAGAGAGAAATATTACAAAAAAAAAACCAGAGGAAACTAAACTTTTAGTTTACAACCATTTTTTATAATAAGAAACAAAGACTACAAATTTGAATCATGCATTCCCACAAATGAGATACCAGTTCCAGAACAGAAAAAATACATACTTTATTTATCCCTTGGAAAGAAAATCTAATATACATCTGTATTTTGTGAACAGCAATTAACAAAATCATACAAACCAACAAAATTACCCCATCAAATAAAAGTTATAAAAACCACATGAAAGCATGATGGTCATGAATAATCATCCCACTAATGAGATTCCAAATAAATCCAGAAAAATACTTTAAGTCAAATAAAAAAAAAACAGAGAGTAGTTCTAACCTTGTCGTTGGAACGAGCTTCCAATATTCCAACGTCTCTGTCCATAAGGACCACCAAATAATAGCTTTTACAAGCTAAAAATCATGGCACCACCATGAGAGTTACACCAAAAATGCCTAAAAGCTTAAGTAATAACAAGGATTTGCAGGCTTGCGTTTGTTGAGCATTGGGTATTATCAAGATCGTGAGATTATACAAAATCGAAAAGAAATAATTTGTTTAGATGTACGAGAGAGAGGGAGAGAGAGAGAGAGAGAGAGAGAGAGTTTTAAGGTGGTGATGCTATTCTTCAGAGGTTGTGGGTCATGAAAACCGATTCTCGCTCGGAATCCTTATGAATCGGACGTCCTTTAAATTTAAAATTGACTTTCTCTCTCTCCTTTCTCTCTCCAGATTTCTCCTGTAACAGATTTTGGAGATTTCTCCTTCATCCATTGCATGGAACCCAACGAGATTTGGGCGTGTATATTATGCTCCCGCGGAGGCATAATGTACATATACTAACTCAGTTTGAAGACCTAGACTGGGAGAATTTTTCCAATTTATAATTTAGGGAAGCACCCAAGAATCAGTCGATGATTATTTTCAAAAAGAAAAAAAAAATTGAGTTTTGAGTTTTCTAATAGTTAAATCTGACCTTCTAAAAATCAGTCGGTCTCTATTTAATCTTTAGCTATTATTTTTTCAATTGTATATCAAAATAGAATAGCGATTAAGAAATTATTTATATTGAGGTTAGTCTTTTTCTTTTTTAATAATTCAGTGAGGAGACAGCTAGTTGTTTTTTCAAATGGATCACGGGTTAGTTTTTTTAAAAAGGTGTTAAGTTGATTTGATCGAAAATAAAAATCAAAATATGATGACTAAAGTGTGGAGTTGCTACCACACTACAAACCCAACCCTTTTCCATATTGAGGTTAATATGTGAGCGGAAAAGTTACATCCCTTAAATTTAGGTTTTTAAAATTGATCATGGATGGGATTTTACTTGAGGGAGTACATAGACAATAAACTCCCGCAAAAGCGTTAAAAGGTTTATTTAGGTTTAATGAAAGATTAGAAGCTCTCTAATATTAGTGTTTCAATGTGGGCTGTGGTCCTCCCCTGTTAAATGCTTGATCTGTCTCCATCGTTACTCTTTTGAAACGCGTGGGCTCAACAGCTGATCAAAAGTATGGTGCAGGTTCCCTTTTTCCTTTTTATTTTTATTTTTATTTTTTTTAATAAAATGGCCCCTCTTTCTCTCTCTTTATAGTTTATAACTAGTCTCAGTTGAATGTGCATGCTTTACACGTACTAAACTTACCAAATGTAATATATAATTAAATCAACTAAGAATATAACAATTATTAATAAAAATAAATATTAGAATAATTCAGTTAGCTTAAAAATAAATAATTAAGTCAGTTTTTTTAATAAAAAAATTTAAATATTTAAAGCTGAAAAGATGACCACCTTTTTAAACAAGCAAAAACAAGTTATTATAAAAGATTATTATACAATGATGTAATACAAAATTAAAAAGAAAAGAAAAAAATTTATATAAAGATTGCAACCTTGTTTCTAGATTTAACAATGTTGTATTAACGAGCTAGGGAAGTCCCCCTCAATTGGTAGCAAAAGTTCCACACAATTTCAAATGTGAAGTAAATTCATATCGAAACCAGCCTATCACTATAGAACCAGCTTATGGGGCGTTGGGTGGTCAATCAGGGATGAACATGGTATGGTTCAAAAGGTATTGCTGAATTTGATAGAGACGTTGGGAGATAGAGATAAAAAAATGAGGGGTAATACATAGAGATAGAGAAGAGGATTGAAGAAATGATAGGTTTAGAAATGGTTCTTTTTATAATTTGCTTGGATTAAAAAAATAGATTAAAGTGGCTAATGTTCGTCTCATTAGAAGATATAAAACTTAGAATTGTATGTCCAATGATATGTTTTAAACTTTGGATCTAAACATAAAAATAAAAGGCACGAAGATTGGAGAATGGAAAAAATAAAATAAAAAGGGAAAGTTTGGAAGGCATATCAGTGTGTGACTGACTGTACACTCTGTTGAGTTTCAATAAATTGCAAAGAAAGAAAGTAAGGAGATGGTTAAATGTCTTTTTCTTTCAAGCAAAAAGATATTATACCCCCTTAAGAGTATTCTCTCTATTACTACCTCTGTTAAAACCCACCTAGGATTAAGTTTAGAACCTCTGAGGATATAAATCAATTTATGGATTAACCTAAATAAAAAATATTCCATAGTTGCACCATCTGCATACTTGAAAAAGATAATGTCTTAAGATTGAATAGAGACTGTCCAATTTTTATATGATCAGATCTAAGCATTATAAAACTCAAATTTCAATTTTTTGTAGATCAGCTTGATTTGAACCAATTTCGGAGTTTAAAATTTTGTAATTAGATATAAAAATAAATATTCGCACTATCCTAAAAATTTTTCAACACCAAAATTAGAGATGCACCTTACTTTGATTGTTTAAAGTTGCAACTTTATGCAAACCACACCCATAAACAAAAACTAATAATAAAAAATAAACGGGCATGTAAAATGTAAGAGAGTGGTTCATGGAATTGTCTTCCAATTTATTTCATCTCTCCCTCTCTTTCTCTCTCTAGACCTCTATACATTTCTTCTCTCGCCCCCTTCGATCTCTTTGCAATCTAATTGAGTTTTTCCTCTTAGCCCAAGTAAAATTCAGACCTGCAGGAAATTATCTTATGAAATTATTTTTTATTTTACTTTTTAATTTAAAGGGAAAAGAAGCCTCTACACATTCTTTAAAATAGTTTATAGGAGCTAGTTTTTTTTTCTTAAAAATAGTTTATAGGAGCTAGTTTTTTTTAGAGTATTAATGGGGTGGTGTCAGTGAGAATGGAAACTACAATGTGATGATTAGGGTATAGATGTGTTATAACCATGACCTCAACTCCTTTCATATGCCCTAAACTTTCCAAACCGCCTCTGGCCCTGTCCCAATCCCTCTTTCAAGGTCATACTCTCACATGTCGCACCTCAATTGCCTAATAATAATGATGATGATGGTGATGATGATATAGAAAATATAAGTATAAATTTTTTTAAGCTATGACTCAATTCTAGTCCAAATAGGTTGTTCTAAAATTGAAAATCCCTAAAATGCAGGATCTCGTGACTAAGATTTATAGATTTGGATATAGAAAAAAATGGATTTTTAGTTCTTTAAATAGTACATCTTGTAACACATTATATAGATAATCTATTTTCAATTGTTTACAAGCTTGAGGGATTTGCATT